TAGCTGGAGGAGAACATGCTCCATGTTCTTCCTGCCCCGACGCCCCAGAGGCTCCAGAAAAGTCAGCCAGTCTGTCCTGGGGGGCAGGTGTCCTGTGCCTTGCTCTGAGGAGGGGATAAGGGCTGCACTTGCAGGGCCACATCTGCCCAGAGGGGGCGCCGTTGTCCATAGCCCGACGCCCAGTGGTGCTGTGTGCTGGCGGCCGGCCCAGTGAGGGCGCTCTGGGGAGGGCTCCATGTTAGCTCACCCGCTGTCTCTGCTTCTCTGGGTTGCCTCCGCCTGAGTCCTGTAAATAAAGCCTCTTCTTCAGGTAACTTGTACATTACAAAGGACTATTGTCTCACCAATCCTGTCCTTGGGCCTTGAAGCCCAAGTGAACCTTGGAGGTTTGGAAGCAAATCCAGAGTATCTGCTTGGCTGTTGGACCTCTCTCTGCAGGAAACTGTGAGCCTGAGGGGTCTTGGGTGGGTTTGGATTGCTGGCTTTGCTATGTAGAACGTGAAGGTCATTCTACCTCTGGGAGTCGGAGACCATCCCACTGACAGGCAATAATTAAGAACAGTTAATTCCACCTGTCGGTTTTCAGGTTGGCTGGGAATTTTAATGAGAAACGTTACTCCTGTGCACACTGCCCACCTAGACGCGCCTCCCTTCTCCTTTTCATTGTTCACTTAACAAATATTGGCCGAGCACCTACTGTGTGCAGCCCTGGGCCAGGTGCCAGGAGCAATGGTGAGCAAAGGTCAATACCAGTCTGCCCTCATGGGACTCTGTTCAGTCCTACTTCAGTGAGGATGGTTCAACCCTCCTTCCCTGTCTGTTCCCTCCCCCTTCATCCTTCCTCCAGTCCTTTCATCTCTGCCCACCTCCTCACCCCCCTCACCCCCCTCCCTTCTTCCTCCTAGACCGACACCCCTGCTCAGCCCCTCAGGACAGTGTCCAGCCCCACGGGGGGCAGAGGACAGGAGCCCTCAGAGAGGAATGGAGGGGCCGACTGCCCGGTCCCTGGCAGAGCTGGAGGCTGTGTAGCTGCTCGTCTGGAGGGCTGGAGTCTGAGGGTGGCCAGAGGACCGTGTCATCCATGCAGTATCTTCTAGAAGGAGCCTCCAGTGGGGCCTGGGCCCCTTTCTGTGTTGGCTTATTTTTTGCAGAAGACACTTTCTAAAAGTCCAGGTGTTTATTTTTCCATCTTTTCTTTCCAGTGGCAAGAACCCAGCAGGAGGCCTTTTGGGGCTGGAGCAACAAAGGCAGCTCCCAGCCTCCGGCCACCTTGGGAACAGAGCTGGGGCCCGGGCTGGCTCAGCAGCCACCGTGGGCTGGGGTGGTCAGACTGGGGCACAGGCCTGGGAGACTTCAATCCACAGCTGAGATGTGGTCAGGGTCGGGGGTGGCTGGCAGTGGGAATGGGCTCTTTAGTGTCCTCTGAGACTCAGCCCTCCCTCCTGCCCAGGCTGCCTGCCCACGCCCTTGGCAGGACCATGCCTTGTCCTTTCCAGATCCAAGGCCTTTTCTCTATCATATCTCCAGCCTTCCCAGGAAATAGGCCTCTGTCAATCCCCAAATTATTTTGAAAGCCTCCACCTCTAATGCCAGGAGTGTGGATCCCAAAGCAGGTAGAGGGGGCAGGGAAGCGTCCTGGCCAACAGTAAACCCTTGTGCCCCAGTGACCCTGGGGTTCTTCAGGGGGCGTGGGGGGGTGGGGGTGGGGCCTCAGAAGCCCCCACACCCCCTCCCTCCCTGCAGTGGTTGGGGATGAGGAGGCCTGGCAGGTTGCATGGCAGCAGCTGGAGGCCCCTGCCTGCCTCCTACACAGGGTGTGCCCTGGCAGAGGCTGGAACCACAGGTGCCTGGCACTGAGCGTGGCACATGGTGGGGCGCAAGAAATGTAATCCCAAGAAAGGGGAAGATGCAGCTCTCTCCTGTGGCCAGTCCGACTGTTTTGCCTCAGAGTCCAGAGTCCGATCTGACAGGCTATGGCCTTGACCCTGGGGCCCGCCCTGGGCAGCTTGGCCTCTTTGCTTTTTGCCTTGTCAACCAAGCCAACCATGTGGGCCTTGAGAGAGGCATCCTGGCGACTTCACTGCTTGGCCGTTTCCTCCCCCACCACCACCGCTGCTGGGCTCTGTGGGCAGGAAGGGACCAGCTCCTTCCCCAGGAGCCAGGGCTCCCCACCTGGGTGGTCTCTGTGGGCCCCAAAACTGTGGGCTTGGCTTCTGTGCCGTGGGTGATGGATGGTGTTTCCTATTGAGGAGTGAGGGCAAACATGCCGCTGCAATCAGGGACGGGCTGTTAGATAATCTCCCATCCAGCTCAGGTGGAGGAAAACACATGGAGTGGGAGGGGGGCCCCTCCAGCCCATCTCAGCAGGCACTGTGTGCGGGGCAGAGTCGGGGTGTTGGGCAGGTGGGGGACATGGATTTGACCCTGCAGAAGGCGGCCTGGATTGGAGGATCGAACATGACAGTCAAGGTGCTGGTGACTGGAGGAGTTTGGGGACGTCCCTGGATTCTTACTGCTCTGTCCCACCTGTCTCTGTGCCCTTTCCTTTGTCACTTTCTTTCCCGGATTTAAGAACCAGGGGTGAGGGGCGTGGGCCTGGCCGGGCTGCATCCACAGCCCCATCTTGCTCCCGATCCAGCAGGTCTGGTGGAAAATGAATGCCAGCCCTTGCCTTTTGTACTGGCTGCTGAGAATCAAGCATTTAGTTATACGAGAAGCCGGCCTACCTGCCTTCTCGCCCCAACAGCTGGGGTCACTACCTGGAGCTCCCTCCATGTGGGTTCCCTCCACTCCCACCTGAGCCCCTTTTCTCCCCCAACCCCTCTCCCCCAGCCATCCATCTCCTTGCATGGAGCCCACTGACCTGGGAGAATCAGATCATGCACTTATCTTTCCCCTTGAAAAGTGGCTTGTGGAGCTCAGGACTGTTCCCGGCCTCCTCCATGCCCAGGTCTTGGCTCCGTGCCTGGCATGGATGGCCACTGGAAAGGGGGGGTGCCCAGGTGTTTCTCTGCAGTTGGCAGCACTCTGTGTGGTTGGCCCTGCCATTTGGGATGGAGCAGGTGTCTCTCTTCAGTAACTGGATTTTAAGGAAAGGAAAAAACTGACAATTTTTTCTTTATTATGTTTCAAAGCTCTGTTGTGAGATTTCTGGGGACATGCCAGTGGGAGTCTTTTCACTGTGGGTGGGAGTGGCAGAGCTGAACCATCCCCTGGCCAACATGACCCCACAAGCCCTTCCCAAAGCCAGTCTTTCTGGACTGATCAGGATGGATCCTCTAAATGGTTTCTGTGTCCTGTCTGCCTAATGGCATACTCACTGGGTTGAGATAAATTAAGCAAACAAAAGACTTCCAAGGCCCAGGTGCCTCCTACCCTCTACAAAACCCAACCAGCCACCACCAACAAAATAAACACAAGCAACCAGATTCCTTCTGTTTTCCTGGGAATTCCTGCTCTAAAGACTGATACGAGACACTGTTCTAAGTAAATCTAAGAGTGTGAAACAGGAGAATAAAAGTTGGGGGTTGTTTATTCATTTGCTTGATGAATACTGAGTGAGCTCCAGCTTTGTGCTAGGCGTGTTCCAGGCACTGGAGATATATTGAATAAAACAGATCAAGTGTCTGCCCGCAGGAAGTTAGCATTCCCGGTTGAGGGAGGGGAAAGAACGACCACAGGCAACAAGTGAATCTGTGTGACAGCGGATTCAATAATTTCTGGGAGAATTCATGGGGAAAGGGAGGAGGGGGTGCCAAGGGGATGATGGTTATTTCTGATAAGGTGTTTGGTTTCCAGATGACCTCTCTGGAAAAGTGTCATGTAATGGAATCCCTCGTGGGGGCAAACCCCAGCTTAGGTAGGGGAGTGCAGTCTATGTAACAGCTGGTAGAAAGATGTGATGTGGGGTGGGGGCGGCGTGCTTGAGTGTGGGGGCACAGCTGGGAGGCCTGGGGACTGCAGAGGGTGGGGGCGGCAGGGAGTGGGCATGGTAGGAGGAGGGGCCGGTGGTACAGCAGGAGGCCGCAGTAGCAAGCGTCCTGTGGATAGGGGAGGATTTACCATGAAGTGATGCACCCATAGGGCTTCCCTGATAGTAGTAAAGAATCTGCCTGCAATGCAGGAGACCCTGGTTCAATTCCTGGGTCAGGAAGATCCGCTAGAGAAGGGATAGGCTACCCACTGCAATATTCTTGGGCTTCTCTTGTGGCTCAACTGGTAAAAAATCTGCCCGCAATGCGGGAGACCTGGGTTTGATCCCTGGGTTGGGAAGATCGCCTGGAGAAGGGAAATTCCGGCTACCCACTCCAGTATTCTGGCCTGGAGAATGCCATGGACTGTATAGTCTATGGGGTCCCAGAGTCAGACACGACTGAGCGACTTGCACTATGCACCCATGGAGCCCCGGGTAAGACCCTGCACCTTACTTTTGCATTCACCACCTTGTCTTATTTTCTTAGAAAAGGACACCCCCCCCAAACCGTGTAAGCTTCAGAGTCCCCAAACCTGGACTGACCCGGTTTGCAGGTCATTGTAGCAAATCTGGGTGTTGCCTCCCAGTGAAACAGGACACCGTTGGGGGGATGCATCAGGAGAGTGAAGTCACCAGGGGAATCTGTTAGAATGAGAAGGACAAGGCAGTTGCTGGAGGTGGTGGTGTGGCCATGGGTCCTGGAATCTGAACTTGGTGAGGTGGGGGGTGAGAGCACGGGGGATGAGAGACCAAGTGGGGTGAGACGGGCACAATGGGGTCAGAGAATCACGGGGGTGCGGCAGGGCTCCACAGAAGACGTCCCACCCTGGGCAGCAGTCCGGCTCTAATGATTTGTTTTTCACAAGGTTCCCCTGATTCCCTGGGGGTGTGATCCCTGGTGGCAACAAACTGGCCTCAAAGCTGCTGTCTCTTCTCTTGTTTATTAACACCAGTGTTTGTTTTATATATTAAAAAAAGGGATGTTGGCTTCAAAGGCATTTACATTTTTCCTTTTCTTTTCCTTCAGGTTGGAAAGCTGCCTCTGAGACCCTGAAGCTTTTCCTGCTGATACTTGCTCCTCCCCAGTAACCCTCCATCCCCAGGGGAGCCCCAGAAAGAACGCCAGGGGGGCCTTCCTGCTGCCACAGAACCACCTCGCCCGCCACTCCCAGGTAAGGCCGCGCCTGCCCACCACCACACCTGTCCTTGGAGTTTGCATTTGTGATGGAAAAACATCTTCACGAGGAGATTTTATTTTACGTGAGGGAACAACAGGGACCTTCTGCTGGCTCTAGTTTGCAGATTGTGGGTCTTTGTGTCTTCAGGGAGGAGGACGGGGAGAATCGCAGAACCGCAGGAATGCCTTCGGTGGGATTTTGTAAGGAGTGGCTGCTGAAACTCATCAGCCTGGTGGCGAGTGGTTATCCCAGGAAGGAGGGTGGACAGGGCGCTGGGTCCACCGTCTAGTGTCAGCACGAAATGCCATGGTGGCCAAGGTGGGAGTTTGACCCCCTTGCGTGGTTCCGTGACCTGTTGTGCACTTTCCCCTGCGGCTGGGGGATGGGCTCCGATGCCTTCATCTGGCTCTAGAGGGAATTCATGATTGCCTGGCTCCCCCCTCCAGTGGCTGGGCTGTACTTTAACCCTGGCTTCACAGGCGTAGGGCCCATCCCCCACAAGACTGCCCCACTTTTAGCTGCAGGTCTCAAGGACGTTTGCACTTCTGACCAAGTGGTTGCAAATTCACAGGTTCGCTCAACTGCCTCAGTTTTGCTAGAACAACTTGGAGTACTCAAAAGTGCTATGCTTTCCATGAATCTTTGGAAGATAATTCTTGCTTGAAGCCTCCTTGAAGGAGGTGGCAGGGCCCAGCTGCCTCGCCTTTCTGTGGGTTTGAGAACCAGTCTTCTCCTAAAACAGTAAGTGCTTGGTGTCGTAGAAGCTGAAAGTACCAGACTGGCCGATCCCGATGGCTGCTCCGGGCTTTTGGAGCTGGACGGGCTGGCTACGCAAGCTCCTTTTCCACCCGGAGCTGTTTCTGGGTGCACAAGCCCTTTCTGGACCCTTTGTGGCTTCTGAAGGTGTTCTTACAGTTGTGAAATGTGCATCAAGGCTCTTCTCCCTTCCAATGTGGTGAAGTCCAGGCGAGAGATGCATCAGACGGAAGACCTTGGTGTCCTGTTCGCCCTGAGTAGCATGAGGCCTGCAGAGGAAACTGGGCTCTGTATCACCTTCTGATCACCTCCAGGTGGGGGGTGGGCCTCGGGACACGGGACAGGGCCAAGCACATCCATCAGTGATCAGAAGTGCTAGCTGCTGACCCCTGCACCTGCCCACCCAGCGGTGGTGCCCCCTGCTTTTCTCAATGGGATCCAGATGCAAGCTTCAGAGGGGGCTGCCAAACCTACTATCCGGCTGTGCCCGTCCCGTAAGGGTAGGGCAACAGGCATCTCAACTGGCTTCTCTCTCCCAGCGGCCCCCTCATCCATGACAGTCATGAGCAGCAGGAGCAAACATTTTGGAGAAAAGTCAACCCGGGAGAGGGAGGTTTGGGGAATAGCAGATGCTAACATAGAACCCTGCAAATATACATCTTCCACGCCCTCTCACAGTGGAAGGTCTCCTGGAGAAAGTGCTCCCCAGGGGTGCTCTGGGATCAGTGATGCAGAGACTATAGGGAAGAGATTTCTGCTCGGGTGAGCAGGCTGTTCCATTCCCGGTGGCGCGCGGGACTGTTGAGTGTATCTCCTGGTCGCTGCAGGTGTGTCCTTGATGGAGCCTGGAGGTCAAGTAGGGGCAGAAATGGTCGGCCCAGGGCATGGAGGGAAAGTTGCTCCCTTCCTAGCCATCGTTCCATCCCTGGCTCCCTTCTTCTGCCTGGGAAAGGGTCCCATAAATTATAACCCATCCGGAGGCTCATCCTTTAAATAAGGATTTGATTTGGATTTTATTGTATAGTAAATTCTGAGTCCTTATTAAAAACATGGGTGGATATTAATCTGCCACAAAGTGAGATTTTTCTCTCACATGCAGAGGCACAGGCTGGGGCAGACGGGTGCTCCAGATCGATGGGGAGGGAACCCACCTGCCCGCGTCGGGCACAGACACTCACTGTGGGCCTCACTCGCTCTTCTGTCCGTGACCCTCCCCTTTCTCTCTTCCTTCCCTGTCTTCACCCTCATTGGACAGTCTGACTCCTTCCAAAGCCTGGTCACGGTTGCTCACGCAAACAGAGGGCACCGCTGGCCCAGATGTTTTTTGGGGTGGGGAAGCGTCTTTGTTCTGGAGATGAGCAAAGTCTGACCTCTGACTCCTTGAGGGCTCTGACCTCTAGTCCCTTGAGGGGTGCTCCTAAAACCTGCAGGGGGCAGGGACGGGTCCACATCAGGGTGTACTCTTTTCCCTTTTCCAGCACAGGGGACGGTGTGTGACCGAAGCAGGGGCTGCCACACTCCTGTTGGGTCAGGCGTGGGTGTGTCGTGGCTGTGCAGCTGGCAGTTTGGGCTGTTCTCCCCCGACCCTACAGCATTAGAACCCGTCCGTCTACCCCTGGCCCCCACCCCAGGGGAGGGACCCCTGGGGGGCAGCGTGCGACTTCCCATAAATCATTCCCGAATGAGCGTGCTTCCTGCATCATCCATCACGCTCATCTCTTGTCTGCTTGTTTTTAAAAGCTGTTAAACTGGAATCCATCACATGGCACCCTCGGGGGGCCAAGCTGCAGCAAAGGCTGCCCGCATCAGCAATATTAATGCACACAGAGCTTTCTGGAGCATCGAGGTAAATGTCTCCCCGGTGGTGGGGAGACGGAGAGCGTGACTTTATCTAGTTACACCAGAAGCTAATGGGATGTTTCTCTGACACTTGCAGTTAATACATTCCTGCCACGCATGAGGAAGTCCCGGTGGCTGCTGGGTGGAACAGGTAATACCCACCTGAACGATGAGGCTGGTGTTTTTCCCTTCTTGCAGAATCACCTCTTATTTGCTTCTCATGTCTGATATTTTAATTCGAAGACTTTAGCTGAAGCCAGCCTTTTTTTCTAGAAACACCTGTGGTTGCTCTTCTATTGCTAAATGTATTTTGGAAAAGAAGATTTGGGAGGGTACTGAGATCAGCTTTAATCCTTGCTTCTGAACCTTCATGGCTAGAACAAGTTCTGGGGATATGCCCATGAGGGAGGGGGAGGAGTCTGGAACCCTCTCCTTAATACATTCTCTCTCTCTCTGTCCCCTTTCCTTTCCTCTAATTGCATGAGGAAGGCCTGGACCCTGTTTCTCTGTGGCTGGAATCTTCCAGGCTCTTTAGCATTCACCTAATTGACTAGTGCTGGATTTCCTTCCAAGAGCTTCCCTGGGGGGCTCAGACAGTAAAGAATCTGACTGCAATGCAGGAGACCTGGGTTCGATCCCTGGGTCATGAAGATCCCCTGGAGAAGGGAATGGCTGCCCACTCCAGTATTCTTGCCTGGAGAATTCAGTAGAAAGAGGAGCCTGGCGGGCTACAGCCCACAGGGTCGCAGAGAGTTGGACACAAATGAGCGACAGACGCACTTGCCTCCAAGAACCCCTCTGTCTGTCCCAGGCAGATGTCACACACCTTGGTGGCACCAGTGATATTTTGTCCCATCTGCTTTGGGCTTTTCTGCTATCCTTTTCTGTGCCTCGTGTTTCTCTGGGTGAAGGATGAAACTGCTTGTCGGCAGGGGTGGGCCGATACTTTTGCTTGGTGACCTCTGAGCTCTGGGAGTGAGCAGCCCAGGAGGCTGGGCGGGTAGCAGAGGGCGCTGTCAGAGCACCCCCTTCGCACCGGAGCTGTCCAATTAGAGCCCATTAGTCACTCAGTGTGTTAAAGCATTAAGAACAATTAAGGGTGAGAAGAGTTTCCAGATGTAGCTTCAGCTCTGGGGCTGGAAGGGAAACACTGCTGGCCGCTCCCCAGATGGAAATAGTGAGAGGAGTGGCAGGCATCAGCAGCGGCTCCTAGAGCCCCGGGCTTTAGGGTGGGGAACCCACAGGGGGGCTCCTGATTCAGACGCTCGGTGGGAGGCTCCTGGGGCCGCTGCAACAAAGAACCACAAACCTGCGGCCTTACGACAACAGAGATTTATTCTCTCACAGCCCTGGGGCTGGAGGTCTGCAATCAAGGTGCCAGCAGGGCCCCATTTTCTCTCTCCAGCTTCTGTGCTCGCTGCCTGTCCCGGTGTTGCTTGGCTGGCAGACACATTCGTTCTAGTCTCTGCCTCACCACATGGCTTCTCCCCTCGGCGTCTGTCTGTCCCTGTCTCTTGACACAGTGCGCTCCTGTGTGTGTGTATGTGTGTGCCCACATTTTCCCTCGCTTTTTGAAGACACCGGCTAAGGATTAGCATCCCTTACTCCCTCCCCCGCACTCCAGGAGGACCTCATCTTAACTTGATCACATTCACAAAGACCCTAAGTCCAAATAAGGTCATTGTCACAGATATTTGGGGATAGGATTTCAAGATATCCTTTTTGGGGGACACCATTCTACCTACTGTATCCTCTAAGACTACTGGGGAGGAAGGTGAGCCTAGACACCTTTACTACTTGTTCCTTTCCCCCAGAAGTACTGTCATTGGTTCATTTTAAAGACAATGGTAAGAATGTACCCATGGGCCAATTAAGAACTGAAGGCCAGAACCCTCAAGCTATAAGAGGGACTTCTTGAAAACCCCAGCCCAAGGTCATAGGTCGTCTGTCATTCAAGAGGCAGCTGCAGCGCCAGAAGCTTTTGCCTGAGATCCTTTCTGTGTCACCCCCTTGCTACCAATCCCACTGTTAAGACTGGTCTTAAGAACAAACCAAGCATGAAAAAGACAGACCTCAAATCTAAGCCTAAAAGTAAGCAGTCCTTGCCGCATGTCTTGGGAGCTATTTCAGAGCCTGGCCAGTGAGGGTCACCCTAGAGGCTCCGGAGGCCTGAAGGAAGAGATTGCAAGAGGAAGTGGGAGCCAGGCTTGCAAGGTGAGGGAGAGAGGTCTCGAGGAAAGGAGGGGGTCAGGCACTTAGGAGCTCTGGGGGTTAAAAATGTGGAGGCTCTGAAGGCTGGAGAGCCCAGAGGGTGAAATGTGGGAGTGGGAGTCCAGAACTGGGGGAGGTTGGGAGAGAGAGGAATGAACATGCTAGGGGGCAAGGAGGAGTTGAGGCTG